GTGTAGGGTTGGAGAAAGAAAAAAAAATTCTTGACAACTCGTCTTTGTTCCTTCTCGACCCAGAATTTAAGAACCAAAGTAGGAAAACTAAAATAGTGGTTGAAACCAGAGAAACAGTGTCTCATTCGCTATGCAAATACATATGAACGTCTTGTTTCAATTTTATCCTGAATACATGGGCATATTTTTATATGGATTGATACTGGTTTGTAGCTTACAAAATGCATAAACACATCATTTCATAATCGTTTGTCATGTCCAAAGAATTTAACTTATGTTGGATGATGAGCCTCAGGTTTCGGCTGTGAAGAGCGTAATTTTGTAAGCATCGCAACATGAAGACCGAATCAGACTTTAGAGTGGGACAGAGAGTACACTCGATCAATGATCCTCGTCGAGTGGGCACTGTCATGTATGTCGGAGAAGTGCAAGGATACTCTGGTGTCTGGATTGGTGTTGATTGGGATAAAGACGGGGACGGAAAACATGACGGCTCCGTCAATTGTGTCCGCTATTTCCAAGCCCGCTCGGATTGCTCTGCGTCCTTTGTCCGTCCCCAGAATCTGAGCCACGGAATTACTTTGCTTCAAGCCTTGGAGCTCAGGTACAGGACAACTTCCTCTAAGGACGAAGAAGGTATGTCTTTTTTTTTATAATTATTATTAGATTTAAGAGAATTTCCATGGTGTTAATACTGTTTCCTTATCATAATATCCGGGTATCGTTTTTTTTTATAGATGAGATGTACGTTCTGTCCACCAGGAACCAACGTGTTTCTGTTCAGCTTTTGGGGAAGGAAAAGATACAAGACAAGCTAAGTCGGTTTGAGGAACTTACAAGCGCTTCTCTTTCTTATCTTGGTGTCAGCTCCCTTGGAACTTCATCTGATGCAGGCTCTGTTATACCAAGTGAGATTCCCTGTTATTTGATCTCTTCTCCTTTCTCTGCTTTCTTGGTATATTGTTTCATGCAACACTGATGGTGCTGCTAAACATGACAACTTTCCATCTGTTAAATTTTCATTCCAGATCTGAAGGAGCTTGACTTAACTGGAAACTTAATTTCCGAATGGAAGGTAATATATATATATATATATATCCTAAAAACTTAAACTAGTGTAATGCTTCTGTCTCCCCAGGAAATTGGAGCGCTTTGTGAACAGTTACGGTCTCTTACAGCCCTAAATCTGTCTTGCAATTCTTTGGCACACGACAACATGTATCTGCCGCAGCTCAACATCCGTGTCTTGGTTCTGAATAACACCGGTGTCACCTGGACTCAGGTAAACTTGCTTCTTTGTTTCAAGTTTTATATCTTACATGTAATCCGATTCCATCCTTCACTTTAAATGGCTTATATGTACTGTCATGTTGTAGGTTGAAATGGTTGGACGTTCATTGCCTTTACTCGAGGAGTTGCACTTGCTGGGAAACAAGATCGCTGCTGTAACGGTATTCTTTCCCT